CCTAGGCAGGAAACCCTGCACCTCTTCAGACAAATGGTTATCCAATCTCTTCTTAAAAACATCCAGTGTTGGAGCATTCACAGCTTCTGGATGCAAGTTGTTCCACTGATTAATTGTTCTATCAGGAAATTTCTCCTTAGTTATAGATTGCTTCTTTCCTTGATTTCCACCCATTACTTCTTGTCCTGCCTTCAAGTACTTTGGAGAATAGCTTGACTCCCTCTTCTTTGTGGCAGCCCCTGAGATATTGAAACACTGTTATCATGTCTCCATTGGTCCTTCTTTTCATGAAGCTGAATATACCCAATTCCAGCAACCGTTCTTTATATGTTTTAGCCTCCAGTCCCCTAATCATCTTTGTTGCTTTTCTCTGCACTCTTTCTAGAGTCTTCACATCTTTTTTACATCGTGGCAACCAAAACTGGATGCAGTATATTTGGGCTACTATATAATATTTGGGCTACTACATTTGAAGTCAGTTGCTGCTAACAAATTGGTGTTTTGGAGGATTTACCATGATTCCTAGTTCATCACAGATCTCATAGAATTCATCTTGCTCATACAGGCCTCCTCCCCAAACTCGAAGTATATTCATATTGGCATCAACTGTTGACTGCAATAAGAGCCGTAACCTATCAAAAAGAAGCGAGAGTTCAATCTCACTGAGCAGCAAATGCTACCCTGTAGAAAAACATAAGGAAGTAGAAAATATTTCAATTGAAAGCATGCACATAATTCAATGGTGACCTTGCTTTTTATATTTGGGCACTGAATTATTTTCCCTGAGCAGCACGGAACTGAAGGAAAGAAACTTGGCTATCATATTTTCTGGGTTGTCCCAAAGATGCTACCAATCTAACATTTTCAAAAGGCAACTTGACTTTGTTTTTCTTTGAAGATGTTTTGCTTCTCATCCAAGAAGCTTCTTCAATTCTGAACTCAAAAACTGAAGAAGAACTGAAGAAGCTTCTTGAATGAGAGGCGAAACATCTTCAAAGTTGCCTTTTGAAAAAGCACTTTTGTTACAACTATGCCCTGAATGACTCAGATCTCCACAGACATATTTTCTTGCTGTTGCCATAGACTAATAATAAAATTAATCTTTGCAAGCTGCTATTTTCATTCCTCTTTCAAAGAGTAGCATTAAAATTGGTGGGGGGGGTAACCTATTGCGGTTCCACCACAAAATCACGGAGGACAAAATCGCGCTCGACGAAAGCGCGCATTTGACGTCATCACAGCGCGAC